CCTTTATTTGCTATAGCCGATCTAGAATAAATTCCATTGACATATCCTCAAAAAATTCATTGTGGATTCTAAATATATTGTATAGATTGTATTTTATGTTTTTCATAACGTACGAACACCTTGGTAAAAGTGTAAAATGATTAAAAATATATTGTAATTTTCTTAATTCTTAAACTTATTTGTCTATATTTAATCTTTCTCTTATGAGATTAGTTATAGTTAATTTATTCAAGCTGTTGATGTTTGTTTCTCTAATATATGTAAGAACAAATATAACCAATTCTGAAACATGTTGGATGAACGTCTCATCTCTAATATTAAATTCATATACACAGTAACTGGGGTTATTAGTGATACCCCCGGATACCTGTGTAGTATTTATTTGACTCACATTTTGTCTCCTAGCTTCTTCTGTCAATTCTGGCGAGAAAGGCGAGTTCCGTTTCACAGGTTTAGACAACCTTTGTGTAAAGTGCGAATTCGCATTTGGATTATTTATTGATGTTTGAGTGTTTGATGATTGAGATGGAAGATTAGAACTATTGATTTCTTGAGGCGTAATGGGATTATTTTTTGTAACTGAAGCATATGTGGTTTTTGGCACCGCATTGTTTGAGTCTCTAAAGAAGAATTAGTCATTGCCATATGCATTTTAATTGCCTTTTGCCTTTCAAATTCATCACATTTTGAGGTTTCAAATGAGGAGTGACTGCCACCGCAAATTAAACATTTTTGTTCCAAACAGTCGTTGTGGCATGAGCTGGTAACATGTTCTTCGCGACATTTTGCACACCTAGGCTGCTTCTACATTGCTTGCCCAAATGACCATAACGCATACAGTTATGACACAAAATTACTTTCTGTATATAATGATTTACATCAAAAAGAACGTGATTTATAGCGACACGCTTAGGCAATGCTTGCGCTTGAAAAGTAGCTACGACCTTATTTATAGGTAGATATTTAATCTCACCATTCTGATGTGAATTCCGGTGCATGCTTTTAACCGAATCCACCGAGAAAATGCAGTGAGAATCGAAAGGTTTGATCCTCTCCAACAAATATTCGTCTGATAAGTGTTTGTCCACCGAAAGAACACCCTGTCTATATAAACTGAATTTGGGTAGATAAGCGTCTAAATTGATAGTTTTGAATAAAACCGGTTTACTTAACAGGGCATTTGCTGCTGATGGATTTTTGAACACAGTCCTTAACCTATTGCGATACAAACATGATAGGGGCCCCTATCAGTCTGCTTATATGTTAAAAGCGGTCGATCTGCTTTTTGGGAGATAATATTTTTGGAAGTTCTGCCTGCATTACTCCTGATTGTAGATCATAGTCAATTCTATTATCATTACCGACCTGGGAATTATCTTCAATAGTTGCATTCATTGAATCCGCCGATTCCTTTCTTTTCTTTCCAGGGAGCAAGCCCCTTTGGGAGACACTCATATAAGTTGCGGGGCTCCTGTTCAGACTTGATATTACTAAAACTACTTACAGAACAGCTAAGTTTCGGCACTAATTAAATATTCAAGCTCGGAATCGACCAAAAATGATATTCGCTCGTCACGTCACTGTCGTATTGAGGTATTATCTTCTCCAACCTCTGATGATTAAGAAAATGTGAAAAAATGGTCCTCAGTTTATACCTAGCACGTTGAAATTTGTATATCGTACATGGGCGTTCCGCCGCATCCGGCGCTGCACGTATATTTTGCAGTCAATAGAAAACCTTGCGACGCACCAAGTGAGGACCGCAAGCAAGGCAACAAAGGTCAGACCTCGGAAGGGGGGGCATACGAACTGGACATTCCAATCCACATTATATGAGTATATTTCTTATAGGAGAATAATAATCAGCATCAACCGACGTCGAACGGCGTCACGTAAGCCGCGGTAAAGACGTCGGGGACGCGATTTTTGCCGTTTTGAGACAGCTACTAATGACCTTGCGTTTGGCAAGTGGCACTTGCTAAATTGTTTTTACAGAGAGCGTGAACGGGAAGTAATTTTAAGAAATCTAAGGAACACATTTTATGCAAGTTTTGAGACTGCCCGCAAAGAACTTCCGGCTAGATAGTAAAACTTGCCCCATTACGGTCATTATCCAAAAGTGGACCTTTCTTTGAAAAATGTGCTTTTATACTTAACTTAAATACCGAGGGACTACATCTGCTAAAAATATGTAAAAGATATTTGACGGATCCGATTTTTGAAATCTTCAAGGAAAAACTGGGTTCTGCCTTACCAGCCACTTCTCGAGGAACAGAGTTCTTGAGAGTTAAAATGTGTAATGGAAGTGTAACGGGTTTGTCTGGTAGGAATAACGTGTGGCGGCATTTTGAATGGGGAGCATTATTAGGCAGGTATAGGAACGTATAAACATATTCAAGTTATTTGATCCAAATCGTGATCTTTGGCCCCCATATTACAGAATGATCTTCAAGCTGTAAAACGTTCATTCAACGTTTATTCGTAACTAGTGAGCTGATTTCAACTTTTCAAAGCTCATTTGACTTCTTTTGTTAAATCATACATTTTATGATTACCCAATATTTGAATAATTCAGCACCTATTTAGATATGCTTTCAGATGTTATAGATTTTTGCAGGTATTCAAATGATACTATTTGGTGTGAGAAGGAAATCTATTTTTGGTACAGAAAAAAGTATTCAATGCATAAATACTAAAGTCAGTTTTGGCATATCTTATCGCGCAGTTGAAATAGCATTTCAAATCCTTTAAAGGACAGGATCAGTCACTGAGGTCACGTGTCAACCTATATGTGCCACAGCTTAAATACAGGGATATGGAAAAATGAGGTCACGCTATCCACACAGTGGCCATTTAGCCGCCATATTTGAAAATGACCACCAAATTATACAACAGTTATCAACATGTCTTCTTTAATTTTTTTAAGTGTACTAATGATTATAATCTTTTAGAATATATTTAAATAACACTACTTTACATGTAAAGTGGTCTGTCTCTGGTAGGGCTAAGACCAAATTCGAACAGTTGAATCTGCATTTACTCATCCTAATCTTTCAGATGGTAACGCTGTCTATGAGACAAGGTGTTATAATTGGTAACGTGTGTACTGATATGTGCTCTGAACGTTAGTCAGGGAGTTGATAAAATGTATTCAGTGGTATTTGGAGAAAAAGATTACGTGATTTGGCTCATAAGACAGTCATATTTGTAAATGGTGACCGAATCGCAAAATACTTCATAGGGCGTATACCGGAATAATTATTTGGCTATTCGAAAGAATTGTAACATCAAAACACGTTTTATTTCGAAAAAATCGTGCAGAGTTAGCCATATTTTATGTAGTTTATCTTGGCTGGCATGCTACCATCTGTTGAATTCGAATTCTATACTACCAAAAAATCAACATATTTCAAATATCTTTTCTCTTTCTCTATAAGTGCAGTTACTATCATCATTTTTTGTTTCAAGAAACTTGTCCTTTTTTTTCTATCACACTTGAAACACTTCTACCTTTATGGAACGTAAACATCCAACTTGCGAATATGGCTTTTGTAACTTGTATAATATGACGTAGTACTAGTATATCGTGTGTAGAATACAATATCTCGTATTAGAACAAGTTTCAAGTAAATTGACTTCAATTGACTTGATACCATACTTTTTATAGAATAGGGCCTCAATTACAAGCAATTATTACAAGTATTAAAGTGCATTACTGTCAAGAAATGACAATTCGTATAGAGAGACGTTGATTTGTAAAAGTGCTTCAAAGAAATTATGCACTTTAATCAGTTGATTCAGCGAGACATTAACGAAAGCATATGCATGGAAAATCTTAGAAAAATGAGACTTGCGGTCCGGCAACAGCTTTCCAAAGAAGAGCACATGACAGTGCTCCAGAAATAGGGTACTTTTCTTTCTACTTGAAATATGAACACGCTTTTCACGAGGTGATATCGATTTTTTTTATTGATTAATGAAGGTTGGTTTATGCCATTTATGTATGAAAAATAACATCAGTCATGTGACCACCGCGGCTTCGTTTACAGGCCAACATCCGAACATCAAAATTTTCAATGACTTCTCCCAGAATATTCGGGCCTATGGCCGCAATTTCAGTCTGAATATTGCGATTTAGGTCTTGAATTGACCGGGGACCATTTGCATACACTTTTCCTTTCAAAAATCCCCAAAGAAAATAGTCAAGAGGTGTTAAATCGCTCGATCTCGGGAGCCAACTGACATCTGAATTTCGTGAAATTATGCGGCCTTGAAATTTCGTGTGCAATAAGGCAATTGTTTGGCGAGATATGTGATTCGTTGCCCCGTCTTGATGAAACCAAAGATCCTCGGCACCAATACGATCTAATTGTGGCCACAAAAAGTCTGCACGTTAATCGCTCAAATGAAGCTAAAAATATCCTACCCCCAGGCCCAACCTATTTTTTCTAGGAAATCATTAGTTTTAACACTGGATATGGTATGTTAGCTGTTATCAAGCGTTAGTTTTCAGATCACCCGACTGCTGAGCGCCGCGAAACCCAAATGTTGGGTGTCACTTTTTGGAGTTCTAACAGGCTCATGAGCTACAAAAGCGTGGGTACCCTAAGGAAAAATAGAAAAAACAACCCAAAAAAATGTGATAATCTTTGTCTAAGCACTATACATAGTGACACAACCACTAAACATACACAAAGAGGAACAGGCAGAGAAAAACGATCTCTTGTTGTTGACTACAACTCGTGTAATTAATTCATAGATTTATCAGATCAGTTGAATCAGCTGTTCGCCTTTGCGTAAAGGCATAAAGTGGTATAGGAAACTTGCCTTTGAAATATTACTTGGCTATACAAAATTGTGATACGATGATGTGATGTCTTTCAAGTTTTGCATATAGAAACATAGTAGGCCGCGCTGATCGAACGTTAGTACTGAATCTTAACCTCACTCATTAGTAAACTTAAATTCAAAGTTTCACAACAATACGTGTTTCGAAAAAGATGGTCGCGACACTGCGGATTGGTATACCACCATTTGTTTGCCAACAGTCAACACCGAGCTTCGAAAAATCAATCCCGAAAGAAGAATCATCCTCCACCAAGACAATGTAGGCTCGCACACAGCCCAAAAAACAAGGCAGTATTTAACGGAAGAAAACGTGGAATTGTTAGATCATCCTCCTTATAGTCCCGATCTAAGTCCTATCGATTTCTTTACTTCCCCGAAAATTCAAAACAGACTGCGTGGTCAAAGGTTCCAGTCATCAGAAGAAGCAGTTGACGCATTCATAAATGCCGTTTTGGATCTGCCAGCAATCGAGTGGAATAAGTGCTTCGAAAATTGGTTCGAGCGCAGATGTGTATTAATCTTCGTGGAGAATACTTCGAAGAATAATAAAGTTATTTAAAACTACCTTCCGTGTTGTTTTATTTCCATATGCAAAGCTTAAAGACATCCCTCGTAAAAGCGAAAATGTCAATTACAAGTTTTAGACAGAAACTTGCTCTTAGTATGTTACAAATCAATGAAGTGGATGTTAGGGAGGTGCTGGAAAATGAAAAAGTGCATGCAACATGTTTTACAAGAAGTTGCTTCAAAAGACCAACGAAAATGTGTAGCATGTTATGAGAAAATAAGTACTGAAGAAGGAAGGAAAGCCGCTCAAAATTTTCTTGTAGTATAGGTACCCGTATCATAAGTCCTACTGTTTGTCATATTTTTTTGAAGTTCGAGATTATTCTTTATAATTAGTAGCTACTGTTTGCACTATTTCATTAAAATAAAAATGTATTTGTATAAATTCGTATCATTTTTAGAAAACTCCTTCAGAGATAAAAAAATACATGAAAATTGCCTGGCCCATTCACTAATATTACCCGCCAGGCCCCTCTGTAAAAACACATAAGTGCATCTATTCTGAAACATGTCAGTTGGGTTACAGGCTTCAATGCGCTACTAACGAAGGTCAACTCACAGGTGTCGGAGCCCAATCGACTACAGGATTTGAAACCCAACTGTCGGGTGTCATGGCGATTAACGTGTTAACCTGCCGCAATAACGTTCCCCGTTGACGGTAATGGCCTTTTCTTTGGCATCTTCAAAGAAGAATGCTCCAACGATGCCACCAGCCCATAACCCGCACCAAACAGTCACTTTTTCAGGATGGAGAGGTTGTTTATGATATTGGTGTTGATTTTCAGCGCCCCAGAATCTGCAATTTTGCTTATTTACGTACCCATTGAGATGGAAATAAGCCTCATCAGAAAAGAGCACTTAGGCCGAAAATCTGTCTTCTCTTTCCAGCATCCAATTAACAAAAACACGCCGCTGTTGATGGTCTGCCGGCTTCAATTCTTGTGTTAGTTGGATTTTGTATGGATGGAGGTGTAAATCAATGTGCAAAATCCGGCGTAAAGTGGTCTCACTAATTCCCAATTGTTGCGAACGGTGCCTAGTCGCGGTGGTTGGATCTTCTCGCACACTTTCACTCACTGCGGCTATGTTTTCACGAGTACGAGCTGGACGAGCATATTGCTATGGTCTACGACGTTCAGATGAACCAGTTTCCTTAAAACGATTAACAATCCAACGAATTCCAGGCTCTGTAGGGCGTCCATGTCGGCCAAAACTAGTGCGAAGTTTGCGAAAAGTATTTTTTATATTTCGACCGTTTTCGTAATAAGTTTGGATAACCAAAATGCGTTGTTGTGTTGTAAACCAATCCATGAGTATAAATGGCATACCTTTGACAGTTTATTTATGTATACCACATGACTTTTGACCCACATGGTAACACAAACTTATAGATAAAAAAAGTATAGATGGCGCACCCGTACTTAAACTCTCTTATCGTCGAGTACATTGACTTTTTCTGAAGAACATGCTCTGACGACGTAAAGTGAGATATCGAGGTATCAGAATCCTCCCTAAAAGATGCTTCTATAGTTCAAAAATGGAACGATTCAATAGACTAATATTAAAGCTGCGTTAAGTGACTTTTAATGAGGCTTTGTGAGAGATTACACTATGCTAATCGAATCAGATAAATTTATGCGTATTGTCTCCGCTGAATTTGTGCAGTTATTCATATTCACATTGATTGGAATTGGAATTCTATATTAAAATTGATACTACAAAAAAGATGGCACTTTACAAATCTTATTTGGCCTTTTTTCCTGTTCGCAATAGTACCAAATAACTTTTGCCACTTTTTTCTACCAAACAAGAATAACTTCTCGTAAAAAGTGAATTTGATATAACAAGATAAATATCACCACTTGTACTCTTATGGGACATAAATATCTGACTTGCGAAAAAGTCTTGTAACTGGAGGCTGTGCGGAAAGTGCAATACCCTTGGAAGGACCTTTAGATGGCTGTTCCAAATAAGAAACATTTAGGTATTTGATCTCCACTTATAATACGTCACAGTGTTGCCACGCATATCCGCGTTTTCAGAAGGATACATTGAGAACAAACTTTGCATGGCTACCACAACATCGTATTGGAATTTTAATTTGTTTTGTTGCACTTAAACATTCAAAATTCTCGCACAAATTGGTATTTCTCGAATGTTAGAAGGAAATCCCTCATATCAAAAGTCGACAGAATATTCTCACTGCATCGTATATCTAACATATATTTCAACTAATCCTAGTAATTTATCATCTAATAGATATTGATTCAGCTTGTGAAGAACCAAGTACGTACATGCATAATTTAATTTTTGTAAAAAATGTTTTCTCCATTCAGTTTTTGCCAGGCTAGGAAAAAAGAGGGTCAGTTGTCCTCCCTGCACCCAACCCCCCCTCCTCTGGGACCTTTGCTTCGATGTTTCAGGTTTTGCCTTCACAATCACAAGCATTAATTGTTTTATGTTATTTATCTCCTGGTATCTCATGTTTTCAAGTTAATCAGAGTAAATTTACAAGTACGAAAACCAAGAATGCGCTTCGATTTAAAATTTGAAACTGCAGTAGAGCTGGTGTACTGGAAATATGTCCATAAATAACGATTTTATGGAGAGCATTCTACTCTTCCTCTAAATAGACAGCGAGAGCTTATGATTTAAGTATACAGATCACCAGAAGTAAGAACACTTCCGGCGCAATTTTTAATTTCATGGAATTGGATAAACTGCAACTATAAAGACGCATTACGTCTTGCTTACGTGATATTTTAGACGCTGTTAGCAGTTGTTGCCTTTCACGATATGCTAATCAAACAGGCCGTGGAGTTTATTTGAATGGTGCCAAAGTTTTAGACTTTGTAGCTAATTTTCATAAAAGACCTTCTTTATAATCATTGCTATCATAATCTTGATAAAAAGTCAGATATCAGAAAATTGAGAACCATATACACTTTACGTTTTGAGATTGAAAAGTGAGATATTTAGGAACATTCCAGTGTCTCAAGATATATCCCCTCTTTTAATATGACCTTTTTCGTAATAAAATTCGTCGTAATGAACAATTCCATGGCGTCATGGACTGATAATCATACACTTTCCGACATTCTCTGACATATTGGTTAAAGATGGCAGCATGAACTTTATCTGCGATAAATTTAGCATACTTTATCTTCTAGTTCTGAGCAATTACAAACAGTAGCTTTCTGTATTCTATCAAAAGCTAGTTATTCGCAAAAAACCTGTATGTCACGTACTAACCTAAAAATGACTGACTTCTGTAGCTGGCGGTTTATCCATGACTTTAAAACTGGCAGCTGTGACGTTTTTTTATATAAATGTCTTAATATTCGACGGCAATAGAAGTACAAAAAAAACTTAGTTATTTTGAGTATTTACATAGTGGTAACTTACACAAGGTGTGTAATGTTTCTGGGAATCTCGCAAATTTTACTAGTAACTTAACGATTTGCACCCATTTTAGCCATCTTTGTTGCACAAGTTATAGATTATCATTGTGTTCAAGACATAAAGTATGTACTTGATCGCAAACACATTTTTATCTAACACAGAGACAGTACAATGCTGAGATGGCATAACTGATGGGCCTATTTTGCTGCTTTGTGTGTATGTACCATGTCTTGAGAAAATATGAATATTGGCGTATTTGTGTAGAGTTGGTTAATTGTTATTAGTGAAATGCAAAGCTAACTTAACATTTGTATAACTGAAATATCTAGACAGCCTGGATCCAGTTTATAATATCTCAAGAGGGGCAGTCGGTGCGATTCGCAGAGACATGCATATGCACTGAATAGCTGTATCACTGAGATGTTTTTTCTTATCTACAGATTGGAAGCCAGTAGGCCATCGTTCAATCTCACCTCATCTCATTTATCAATGTTGGCCTAATATGTATGTAGCTGGTTCAAGCGACCGTTGTTAGTCCGAAATATTAGATTACAGCCAGTTACAAGTAACTGTAATATCAAAACAGTCCGCTCTAGATTTGTCAGCGTCTGTTCCTGATGGTGTGTTAATTTGAGATTAAACGACTTACCTAGTAAGGAAGTTCAATCGGAATTATTCGAGGTCCGGTCCACTAGAACACATATTGTAGAATGCGATTCGGTAACGAAGCGGGCCACCTGTGAAAAGTAACATGGATCTCCATCTCCAGACCCTGAGCTATACGAATATCTCATTATGCTTTTTATTTGCTAGTCATTTTATTTTTTGGGTATGCGGTACTACGCGTCTAGGATGGGGTGGGATGTGTTCTAGTGGACCGGACCTCGAATAATTCCGATTGATCTTCCTTACTAGGTAAGTCGTTTAATCTCAAATTATTCTTCAGTCCGGTCCACTAGAACACATATTGTAGATGTTTAAAGTACTAAATGAGCTAGCAAATGTCATAATGTAATAACATAAAGAGGAATTAAGGAATAATAAAATTATGAGATATGCATTGAATATAAAGTATTTTAATACAAATTGTGAGAACAAAAAATTTTTCATATATTTCCTTAACTTTTTTTTTTATATATTAATTATGGCAGAACAACTAACAATTAGTTTATATACAATAACAACAACGTAACAAGAAATAGAACATACGATATAGAAACGTCCTTATTCTAAACCTATATGTTATAGACCAACAAACGTAACTAGAGTCTAACACAATATTTTAGTAGATAGTAATGTAATTAATCCCTGCACGACCTGAGTTGTTTGTTTTCCGTACCAGCTAGTACCCTATTTATGAAAAAACTGCTATCTAACGGCCTGTTATAAAACTTAAAAAACACGTTGGACCGTTCTGTGGCTCTTATAGTTTCAATGTTAGTACCTGATCTGTAGGCTGCAGAAACAGCTGTATGCCTAGTACTGTATCCAGAGAATGTACCAGTATTTATTCCAGCCAGGCCTAGAATTTTCTTTAACCACCTGGAAAGAGTT